TATATAGAAACAATATAAAATGATGTATCATGTATCATGTGTTATGTATCATGTGTTATGTATCATGTATCATGGATCATAAATCATGTATGAGGTATGATGTATGATGTATGCGTATTCGTATGTGTATATGAATCTGAATGAACGTACGTGTGTATGTGTGTGTGTGTGTGTGTGTGTGTGTGTGTGTAAATATACGATTCCATAAACCGAAATTGTATGTTCATTTTAAACATGAGAATGCGTTTGATGCAGCATTATTTGGTTCGACTGTGAAAATTGTTGGCAATACTCCGGTGAGCGGGTGTGGACCCCTTGTCCGGTGAGTATTTCTATCGAAAGCCATATTATGTCGAATTTGTGCACACTCATATGTGATATGACCATTGTGCCTTAAAATTGTGCCTCAATTCAAATATTTCGGTAGATTAATATTTGTGATTGTTATTTATTATTGCAGCGATATGATGCGGTTCTTGAGACACAGAAACATAAATCGGCACAACATACTGTATTCTCCTTATGTAAACCGAATCCTGAATCTGCTAGCTCAAGTACAATATCCAGGATGCGGGCTTCATCTTTTGCTGTGTTCGTCTCTGATTGGAGCCAGTCTGTCTCAGATTTGAAACAAACACGCTTGTGATGTTTCCACTGCAGGCAAGGGATGATACAACTTTTGGTACTCGGTAAAGAGGATACATATGAGTAGTCTTGGCAGCAACGTGCCGCACAGTGATGAGACCGGAAGAAAACGTAGGACATATCGTCTGTACTGAAACCTAACCCCTGAAGAAAAAACAGGCATCTCCGAACCCAACTACTATGAATCCGTATGGCACACCTAACATGCGCCTCGAAGATTGTACGCAAGTATTTTCGAGCTGCAACTTATCGAAAGAATGGTTAGGGTAGCACAACACTCCAGGTTCTTGCGGATGGTGTATAGTCAGTCGCGAATATTTGTATATATAAGAAGCTAACCTGGCCAAGAAAAAGGGGTGTATAAGCATGCCAAGAAGGAGGACTGGTAAAAGGCGACTTTTGTCACCAACTGACCGACCTTATCAAGCTACATACACAAAACTGAAACTCTGTTTCTGGTAGCATCTTGTGGTATATTAAGATGTCGTTCTAAATATTATAACTATGTCGAAGCGGCATTAATTATTGTAGAAACCACATATTATACTTGAACCCACTTCGTTGGAATCGAAGTATGATGTCATTGATGTCCTGGTGTGGTATCATGATTTGCGTCGCCGGATTTGACGAAAAAGAAGTAACGTGTACGGTTGCATTCGGACCACTTTCATAAAAATTCGGACAGGTACTGTGCCAAGATGAAAGTAAAGGTTTAAGACCCACGCACACGGACCAATGTATGGAATTATAACTAAGGTCGATATCGGATTGCGTACTTCCGAGTTGTCCGTCTGAAGTGCGTTTTACAATGGTAGATTGGTAGGTCGTACCTGACTATCCTTGCAAGTAACTTTCAGTACGTGAAGGAAAGGGGTGCATTTCGAAATTCAACACAACACCGACATCGGAGAACGCACGCGCCGACTCGTATAAGGACTGCAGAAAGGCGACTAACTCCCGGCCGCCTGTCAACTGTCTACCAGTTGTTGAATACGCCTCGTTACTAGCTACCAAATATCGAGACAACAGCATAAATAGCTACCTATTATTGAGTTATAAGCATTTCTCACTACCAATCATTGAGTAAATAGCGCAACAGGTCAAGAAGGTAAAAGAATATCACAAATTCTTACCGCTGCCAACTGACACGAGCGATCGCAAAACCAAGCACTTTTGCACGTGGAGCATCTCTTGAGCGAATTAGAGTCTTTAAGACATCGGTTGCATGTGGACTGCTGTCTCTCAGCTGCAGCTACCCATGTGTAGGGATTACTCTCCAGCACTATGTCGCCAGGCTGGAATCGTTTAGTTGCGAATATCGCACGGCCTCTACCTATAATATGTTACAAATATAACAGTACGTACGTACTTGGGTAAGGCTTCACCAGTGTGCATCTGGGTAAGACTCCGCCAGTATAGGTGATGCGTAGATATCCATCGCTACACCATGCCCAGCACAAAAAAAATAGCTTTCAAATATCGGTCGAAGTGCCTACCGTGGATACCCGTACTGAGACGAACTCAAGCCAAAGATGGATGTCGAGTCGAACCAGTTCAGTAAAGCGATATAATAACCTCAATACAACACACCAAAATAAGCAGGGCGACAATATCCTGGCTTTATATAGCAAATATGGACAGATGTCATACGCATGTACAGCGTAACCAAATATGTCTTAACAGATGGTACCGCGCACGATGTACTCAGTACTCCGTTTCGGTCACCGATCACCCACCTTTCACTTCACGGATTTGCAAGTCATAACCCTTCAATAGAGCGGATTTGACCGGAAACCCTGAAGCAGGTGGGAGTGTCATGACCTTCGAATTTTAGTCTATGAACTGTGAGCAACTGACAGTGAGAAATGCCCAGCGATATTTATGTCTGCCGCAATCTGTACGGTGCATATTTATTGCTGACGTGACTAAAAAAAGAGAACACAATCATCGTCATGATGGTGTATCAGTATGACTCATGCCTACTTGTTTTATTTATCAGTAGGCTATGTATGAATGTAATATGTAAATACATATTTACATAGTCCTTCCCCGACTTCCTGCTCCTTTTTCATAATTATACAATTTTCTCCATCCACTCAAAATTTGTTTTCTTGTTGAGCTCCTTTCATTATCGAAATGGAATTGGCTTCTTGTAAAATATTAAGTTTGGCTTCCTATGCCAATGATAAAGCAGACGTTTTCAGCCAGATTGTATTTATTCACAATGTATTTATTGAAATACTGCTCGTGCTTCTCCAACTCTATATTATGGACTCCATACTCATCGGTGAGTTCGCACTCCTCACGCCTCACGGTCAGATCTATCGCCACCCATTACCACTCGGTCCCCACTTCCGCCAATACAAACCTCTCATCCGCACTTTCTTTGGGTTAAAGTTCACTCTAAATACTTCGAAGTTCGAAGTTTCGAACCCATACTTATTTATTTACACTTTATTTTATATAAAACTCTGTGTGATATTTCATAGCCTTCTATATAATATACTATATTCAGTCCTACGGACGTAGTCCGTTCAGCCATATTTTCCTGTCTAAACCCTAAAAACCCTAAAACCCTATAAATACTTGATTTAGGTTATGGATATTGCATTAATAATTGCATGATTGATGAACGGCGGGTCGGCGGCCGTTGATGGATTCCAAATTTCTTCTATTTTTCCTAAAATTTGCCACTCATAATGTGCATAACTAATATCGTGAGGCGATCATTCTCTGATTATTGGCTGTAAGACTATGACTTTTTTTTTACAAAATAATGTGTATATCCTCATATCACACAAATATGAGGGTTTTAGTAAATTTTGTTTTCTTTTTTCTTTTTGTTTGTTTTTAAAACGGTAATAAAACAACAAAGGAACATAGTCTTCTTGATTTATGTATTTTAGAAGGCTATTGTTCCGTTAAAACCTTTATAAATCGAACATATATGCATTTACGTTCAACATAATCCATATACGGTCCTTTGAATGCTCATAGGTGCACCTCGGGGTCTAAATATTTTAGTGTGTAATGATTTTACCATACGAACCAGTCCTAGAAGAAGAACTTAGGTAGGCACTTCTGATCACCTTATAACCGTTATAGCGTTTTAAAATTGAATAAATATGCGTTTGCGTTCAATTTCTATCCCGTACCCCCATTACGTAATGAGTTAGGGACTACATAAATACATATTTATGTTATTTTTTTTAAACAAAAACCATACACACAAAAAAAACAATTTAGCTTGCGAGCGTTTATTATTATAGCTCATACGATGTCTGATATCCCATACAGAACCTGATTGTGGGGAGAGAGTGTAATCAGTAAACAGATGGCACGGAAGCCCAGGGCTGAGCCGATGAGACCGGGTTCAAGCGCAATAGCTGGCGTATTCTGCCCAAATGTTCCAACATGACTGTAGTTATAGGCGAGATGCTATTATTGTGAGCATATACTTGACATTACTTTTGCACTAGTAAAAGGGTTTTTTTAAATTGTACGTGTTTATTCTATAGACGGTCATATTTATTTGTGGAACACAGGACCAACCACCGATAGACATGCACAAGAACATTCACACGCATGTTCATGCACCTGTCTCACGTCTAGAATTTTTCTTGGAAGAATGAAAATTAATATCTTTATAAACACTCGCACTTCATAGTAAACAAACTTTCAACTCGTGTGTACTTGCACATTGTACATACGGGCTAGCTAGATTATGTCTACATGGACACGAACTTTCATTTCTGTACATTTCTGTAGCATCCAATAAAGAAAGGAACCATTTCTGTAGCATCCAATAAAGAAAAGAATCACTTCGTCATTTCAGATAAGGCGATTAATGTATTCGACTAATACTACAAATATGTAAATCGCGAACGTAGAGCCATCATATTTATAAATCTGCAAATACTTATCCAAGAGGATCTGTGTATGAATTCAAGGCAAGGAAAAAAGTAATCTCTGCATTCTAGATAAGGCGATTGAAATATGAAAATCGCGAACGTATAACCCTTGCAAATACTTGAATAGTGCTTGTAGCAGACATCGCTCGCCAACCAAGATAATAACTGTGAAGCAGGTAGAATTTATTCCATTCTTAGACATTCTATTCACTACACCACTACATCTATCCACATCTCTAATGAGATGTTATCATACTTTCACTCTCGTGAGACAACCGTCGAGTTACACTGCCCTCAAACGATTGGGTCGCCAAAGTTTCAGTTCCAGGTATGCAACCTAGTTCTGTACACTTCTTTGTTCATAAATACTCATTGCTATCGACACAACTTGCAAATATTCTAATTGCAATGATTGTTCATCGATAAGTCTTCTATTTCCTCCCTTCCATGGCACTTGTTTGTCGGTATAAATATTAAACAGTGCTGACTACACAACGTGCAATCTGGTCCACTATGTTGCTAGGCATATTGGCAGGGGCTTCAGATAAATTTGTCTGATTGAAACTCTGGAATCGTCGCACCGGTTTAGGCGACGCCAAATTGGAAGCTGCAGAACGCAACTTCATTAGGCTGGTACTGGAGAGAACACGCTGCAACATGCTCGACGAGCTCTCCGAAACCACTTTGTCATCGCTGACATTGACAGACTTGTCAAAAACTGGCAAAGTATTGAAGGACATCTGACGAGTAATAAGGCTGGCCCAACTGGAGCCAAGATCAGCTTGGCACTCCAAAATTCCTCCGATTGAACGCTCATTAGTATCGCAGGCGTCACTTGCTTCGCTTTCGCCCTCCTCAGCGATATCGTTAAATACGGGCACAGTGTTGAACGACATCTCACGATCTAGCATACTTTCCCACCTATTCACACACTTGAACTCGTCACCAATGTCGAACTCGCTCAAGGTTTCCATGTTCAGACTAGACTGTGTGCACGTGATATCGTCCATATCCGATTCTCCACATTCTGATTCGCAATCTGATTCCACAAAAAATATGCTACCGCGAGACGATGTTGATCCTAAGGACTTCACCTGACATGTATCGTCAGACTCCTTATCGGAACGCTCATCAAACGTTGGCAGTGACGAAAACGACATACTCGCTTCCAACATATCACCCCACTCCATACGTTGCTCGCTACCGTCGGTATTTGGCAGGCACACGGACGCTCGCGACGGCACAACGTTACTACTGCCCTCTTCGGACCAATCGAACCAAGTCGTGCCAATCTGTCTGTCCTCGCATTCATCCTCCTCGAAATCGCTACAATTATCCTCCTCCTCGCCTTCACTTTCACTATCACCCGAAAGTTCGGAATCGCCGCAATACATCGAGACAAAACGAGGAGTTGCTGACAGACAAGGCAGTTCAGACCAAGGCAATTCGTTACCTTCACTCGCACACTCCTCATTATCGATAGAGTCTCCGAACACGATCTCCAAGTCCGGACGTTTCTGAAAGGAGTTATTAGGACTTAACCCTACATCGGCTTCAGTGACTCCAAACCACTTATCTCCACTATTCGTTGCAGGCAACAGCATGCGACCACCTGCAGTGGGTTTCGCATTTGCTGCATCCATCAAATCGAATGAGACCAAATCATTACGAGTCATATGCACAGCATCATCCATAGACCATCTTGTCTCTGGATTCGGATCTAGAAGGCCACCCATCAACAGTTGGAGTGACTCGCTCCAGCCTAGTGCACAAACATCAAACTTATACCCACGCGCCTGCCACATCCCAAAATCAGGATCGTGACGAGTGGGCTGATTCCACGGTAAGACACCTGTCAGTAGCGCGAACAAAACAATACCCACGCTCCAAACATCCGCCGCCTTGCCATCTATCACCTGCCCCTCCGCAGGGCAATACATCTCTGGAGCCATATACGGAACTGTGCCGGTGAGAGAGTCAATCTCTTCCCAGTCATATCCAGATAGACCGAAATCGATCAATCGAAGAGAGTCGTCATCCGCCACTACAACATTCTCAGGTTTGATATCGCAATGGACGACACCAAGTGAATGCAAGTAGTATACGGCTTCGAAGAGTTCGCCTGCATAGCGTCGTAGACGCTCGGGGTTAGATATTCCCTCCAGCGGTACTGCCATGTCGAACAGATCACCCTTTCCACACCATTCCTGCACTACCATAACGCAATCATCATACTCTAGAACGTCTAGCGTACTGATTACGTTGGGATGGTCAAACATATTGCAGAAAGTGACTTCCCGCATAACACTCTCATGCGCTGAAGACTCGCCTGATAGAGACATAACTTTCACAGCTACAGACTTTCCAGTGACATTATCAATTCCTGTACACACTTCACCAAAAGCTCCTTTCTTGTGTGAGGTATGAAGTGTGTACCGGTCTTCAGCTGACATCGTCGAAGACTGTCGTTCCAACTGATTCACGTCCTCGAACATTTTCGAAAGTTGAGACGGATTGTATTTTAAAACTAGATGATACTATTCTAGATATATCTCGAGTTCCTAACGAGTAAGTTGGTGAATTTCAATATGAAATTGTTATAAACTATCAAATACGTGAGTCATAGCAAAGACCCTGCAAATAATACAAAGGTTGTCGCTATGTGTATCTCTTGGGGTTATGACGTTGAGCTTTGCAACATGAACCGTTTGTGAAACACAGATTACCTCACAACTGAATTGTGAGAACGCAATACACCGACAGTTTCGCAAGCTATCCGAATATTGGTACTACGTGCCTAGACGAAATGTAATGTAAAGAAGGAAAAAGCTGTTAATTCTGATTTCCACGACTGTTATAGCATATTATATATATGTAATTCATCCGCTAATTTTACACAATAAATTAATACACAGTTTATTAGCCTCTCACTTTTACTAGGTCATACCATTTTTTTTGGTATAAATATTAGTTTATTATATACGTAGCCTTCTGAAAATAATTAGAACAAATAGTATACGAATCGCGAGTGAAATGTATAATTGTATACGCAAGATCAGAAGTCGAAGACGCGAAAAACTGACGAGAGAGTGGACTCAAGGTCGGTGGACCGAAATATGAACTTCACACAATTCATTTGAACATTTCACAAAAGAAATAATATTTACAATATATACAACGACGTAGTTCGCGAATCATCGAGAACTATTTCAAAATAAACAATGATGAGCGCAGTTTTTTTTTGCACAGCTCTGAGCTCTCATCAAGATCGAGTAGTAAAATATATACTAACCGGTTTTTTCTATGAAAATCAAAACATTCTAATTTGAGACCGTCTGCCGTCTGGCGTCTGACCGCGAGTCACCAACTCAGTCTCACCGCGAGTAAGTGATTAGAGTGACAGTGCCATAAATATCAATATGCTTCTGCTTTTTTACAGTTCCATGATCTGATGACATTAGTCACTTTAAGAGTGAATTTGACTACATATGATGACAGACAGTCAGAGTGACAGACTCAAATAAAGTTTTAGTACGCCACTCCTACTACTGAGTACTGACTCCCTCTCTCTAGTAGTAGAGATAGTAGAGAATAAAGAGAGTGAAGCTACGGATTACTATGTATTTACTGTAAGTCTGTAAGTACTAAGTAGTGACTCTGGTTACTGGTAGTAGAGACTCAAAAGAGAGACTACTGAGAATAGTGACTAGTTGACTATTCTACTGTAGTCTACTACTACTCTAGCTACTAAATACTAGCTAGAGTAGCTAGTAGAGAGAGAATTAGACTTTAGAGACTATTTCTCAGTGACTCAGTCTTCAGTCGCCTGTCACACAACAAAAGTGAGAGAAAGGAGTGGGTATCGGCTTATGAGTTATACGACTATGACCGGCTACGCCGCTACGGCTTGACGCAAGCAGTTGAAATACTTTGACTCAAGCGTTGATATACTCTTTTACTCTTTTGAGTTACTCACCATTGTAATCTCTATCTACACAAGACTACAACACAAAATGTTATTTGATAATTTTTTTCGTAAAAGTCATGTTTTTAAAATTTCGAAATAATGTTTTAATTTCAAATTCATTGAAGAAAGATTTTTATTTACAGAGTATATTTTGACCATGGGCCAGTTTTAGTCTACACTCTGAATCGTAACTGATCTTTTTTTGGGATAACTATTTTGTAATTTTTATTAAAAAAACAGCTTTTTTAGAAACGAATTCGTATGTCGTAAATAAACAATTTAAAATTATGGATATTATTTTACAGAGTTTTACAAAATTACACATCAATTTATAAATAGATTTTTCATTTTATCAAGGGCTTTAGGGTTTTATTTTGTTGTTCTGTTGTTTTTTAAAAAACTAGAGAAGCAAGGGGTTATTATTTACTATTTTCTCAAAATATTATATAAAAAATGCATTCCTAAAAAAGCGTAAAAAAACTATCTGCCTAAAACCATAAAATCCTAAAACGCATATTTGTTCCTCTTTTCTAAGATTTAACGGTCTTTTTTTTAAACTGCCACCAAAATTCGACATTGCACTTCTTGAGGTTTACTGTTGACACCTATTTCTATTTAGTGCGGGCCATTCTACAGCCAAATATTGAATGAATAGGACACTAATCGTCACCTGAAGTCTGCACTTCTACACCCTATATAAATATTTAGGGCTATACTCAATACTGAACTCTATATTTTTACGTAGGGCTATATAGTATAAAAGTTCAACGGAGACGCTTGTTTATTTAATCTGAGAATGGATTATTGGGAAACGGACGCTCAGTGGTCCGGTGGTCCCTTGGTACTGGTTGGTGGTTAGTGGTTACTGTGACACTTAACTTTCAGTCTGACTCACTGCAGTGGTGACTGGGGTGAGTTGGTTTGGTAACTCTCTCAGTCTCGGTCTCTCGGACTCTCTGGAGTCTGACTCTGGAGTCTGGACTCTGGGCTCTGGAGTCTGTTTGTTTTGAAACAAAGTCAATCTATATTATTACATATATGTTTTAATTTTTCTTGAAAACACAAAAACACAAATAAAAGTCGTCGGATTTAAGAAACCGCAATCAGAAATTTTGGGTGCATTCATTTTTTATAAAACAATAAGAAAAGTCTTGGGGCAGCTGGGAGCTTGGGACTACTCTCCCTCTTGTAGCTAAATAGAGTCTTGGGAGGCAGGAGCTGTATTATTGTGAAATTGTTATTGGGGATTTTTAATATGGGAAGTGCCTGTGATTACCCTGCTGAGAGCCCTTGACCCCTTGTCCCTCTTGGGCCTAAGGGCCATTGAGTCCTTGGAGTCAGTGAGGACTGAAGACCCTGACTCCTCTCAGCGCTCAGGGGTCAGCCTTAACTCCATTGAGCTGAGGGCAAAAACAAAGCTTCAAATGCTTTTGACTGCTATTTGTTCCCGCTTTATTTTTGTTAAGTATGTATTTTAAATATCGAAACATGGGTTGAGACTTGAGACTTGAGACACTTGAGTGTGAGTTGTGAGACTGTGAGTAGGGTTAATTATGTTGTTTTTTTAAAGAGTATGTATTATATATACAGGATTTTAGAGAAATAAAACATTTTAACCTGGACTCCGTCGGGACTCGGGAGCACTGGAGCACTGGAGTCCTGGACTTTCTTCGGCTTCCTCTTTTTTTGTGATTTTTTTAAAGCAAATCAAAATCAGGTTTCTGCTAATCTTCTCAACTTCAATGTGTCACAGATCGGGTCTCGCTAAAAGCCATATTAGGTAAAACGTTCCCCATTCATATTCAAACGCATATAAACGTAAATAACTCGAACTAGAATTAACGTCGTTTCACATTCGCATTTAACGCATAGAATCGGGTGCAGATCACGAACTGTACAAAATGGAGACGGGTAGCAAAATGCGGTAAAATATTGTACATTAAGACCAGAAATTTAGGTGTCTAGAAACCCATTTTTAGCTGATTGAAAAGATAAGCAGGGGTGTATAAGACATTATAACTACGCTACTTCAGTTTTGAGTAGTAGAGATATCAGAATACTGCAATATATGCGTGCACAAAATACTGTCGTAATATATGTGTATAGATATATGTATAGAAATCTTCATGGACCTAGCATTGTTGAATGTACGATTCGTAAATGAACGATTGCGCAATCGATGCATGAACGTCAGCTTGTGGACTAAGCCGCTAATATTACAAGGTAATATGTATTTTGTATATATATAAATATATATATATATATATATATATATATATATCTATATAAACTTAATATTTATTGATTCCAGTTTATTTTCTTTATTTGTTTAAAAAGCAAAACATATATTTATAAAGAATGTCAATATTTTTATTCAATATGTAAATACGTATACACACTAAAAAAAAGTTAAATGTCACCATTTTTCAAAAACAAATTTGTATATATTAATTTTCAAAGAAAATACTGTGAATACATCCTGTGCTTTGGAGTTTGGTCCAACCTCATCACGTATTACGTTGCAACGTTTCCAAATGAAAAGTAAAAGTTAAAAGTTAAACTTTATCCCAAATATTCGTAGTCCTAAGCTACCCATAAGAGCATTGTCCAGGTCAGATTTTTGTCCTAACCACATTACCTAACTATTGCCCTACCAACCATCGGTTCTGGAGACTTGAGCGTTGGTTGAGCGTTGGTTGAGCGTTGTCAAGTATATTAGCCCGCTACACTGTCCCTTGATATTGACGTTGTTCATATTCTAGAAGTTAAGGTATATATAATTGATAGAGATATCTAGGATTTACAGTCTACAGCCATAGGCTACACAGTCTACTAGCACGATTAGTTTATTGGTGACTTATTTATTAGTGACTTAGTGCCTAGTGACTAGTGTGACAACTTCACAAGTTCAAAGTACCATATCATGTCAGATAAAAAAAAGCAAAGGTAATCACTTTCTAGTTGTTTTTCATTGGTCGGTTTTGCATTTCATGGCCAAAAGTGTGAGAATAGGTGCACTATCGTGGGCAGCAAATCGAAATAATTGAGGTCCGAATTGAAACAGTTGAACGTTGCAACGTTTTCAGACGAAAAAGTAAAAGTAAAACGTTCAACTTATATATCAATATAACTTGATGAGGTTAGACAACAGCTGTGAATAAAATACATAAATAGAATGTCTTTATACGGCACTGATGACAATTACATATTTATAAAAGTTACTGTAATTTTGGGTTCGTCCTAAATATTTTTATGACCTGGAGGACTGGGTTTTTGAAAAACTAAAATCACTTTATGACTGGAGAACGACTATTTATCACTTGAGTGACCAGTCAGATGCACCTATCCTATATGAAATTGTACTATTTATGTATTTTCATATATATATATATATATATATATTATAGTACTTTTTTTAACAAAAACAAAATTTAAAATTTACTTTTTCAAATTGCAACTTTTTTTAAAATAACGTAGAGCATAGTTTTTTTAGTGTTTATTTGGTGATTTTGCACCATACTTTTTAGCAACTGATTATTTCTTAAAAACCAATGCCCTTCGAGTCGACAACTCTACGTCAGTCTAAAAATACGAGGCTCGCGAGTCGCGAGACGACTGACGACAGCGAGGTCACGCCGTCACAAGTCCGTGAGGCGCGTGAACCCATAACCCCATACATGCCTCAATAAACTCGCTCGAGTCGTAATATAAATAGGAAACAACTCGTAAAGCGTGACGACACTGAGGGCGGCGCTGACATGAGCTTGCAGTCACTGCATAAGACTCCACAAGTGAGCACTTTCAATTTCAGTCTGTCACACACACACACACACACTGTCTGTCACCCTCATAAGTATAGACTATGTAATAAGAATATGGGAGAAAATTGACCATATTATAATATAAAATGCGCAACATGTGAAGTTTTTGAAAATCCCGAAATATTTTTTAAAAACAAATATACGTGAAATTTGGCATTGAAATTGAAATATGCGGACCAAAAAATATGGAATATTCAA